ATACCTCCGCCGGGCCCGCTGAGGGGCGAAGGACCGTTAGGGTCGTAGGCGCGCATGTCGTCGAGATCGGCACGGGAAGGTCGGTTAGCCTTGCGGCGCTTGTAGAGCCAGTATCCGATACCAATGAGAGCAGCAAGTCCAACAATGCCAACACCAACACCGATTCCGGCCTGTGCGCCGGTGGAAAGGCCTCCGCCGCTGCTGGAGCCCGTGCTCTGCGCACCGCCAGTCGCGGTTGAGGTGCCTAGGCTGCCGGTTGTCGGGCCGCTGTCGACGGTGGTGGGCGCGGCGGTATCGATGGAAGTGGAGGTGACGGTCAGGGTGGACTCGACTGTGATTGTGGTCTGCGCGTTGTTGAAAAGGGTGCTGGTGACCATGGAGGTAAGGATAGTATTTGAGGTCGTGGTGAGGAGCACGGTGCTGGTTCGGGTGGCCAGGACGGTGGAATCGGCGCCTGCTGAGCCGGAGACGGTGACGACCACGGTGACAAGAGCGCGCTTCTCGATGACGCCGTATTTTCGGAGATCGTTCGCCTCAGCGGCGGGCGTGATTTGAGCAGCCGGGGCGTCGTAGGGAGCATCGAGAACGGGGAGGAAGTTGAGACTTCGCTTAGCAAGGACGGTAGAGGTGACATAGTTGGTCACGGTGGCGGTCGCGACATCGTTACTGGTGATGGTGGTGGTCTGGAAGGTCGTGGAGGTGACGACAACGGTGGTGGTGACCGTACGCAAGAAGACTGTGGTCGACGTGACTGTTCCTCCTCCGCCGCCGCCGCCCACGGTGGTGGTGATGGTTACTGTGGTAGTGGCCTCTGCCGCGGCTGTGGTCTCCGTCGTGGCCGCCGGAGTCGTGGCTACGGGTGTCGTGGAAGTGGGCGTCGAGCCGGTGCCGGTTTGTCGGGGTCGGAGGACAGGCATGGGCTTGCTGCCATTATCGACAAATGGAAAGGCGGTGGTGAAGGAGGACCAGAGTAAGGCCGCGAGGCCGGCTGATCCGAGACGCATGATTGCGATGCGGTCGCTCTACGACGAGTAGAGGACCGAGAATGAGCGCAATGGCAGTGGTGAGGATTGAAGTTGACTTTCGTTGGGTGGAAGTGGGAGGTTAAAAACGGGGGAGGGGGGGGGGGGCGAAGAGTCGAGGACGGGTTGATGGAGGAGGATGAGGATGTGGTAGGTAGTGACCTAGGGTAAGGCGGGTCGGAAACAAAGTGTGAGCGAGGTTTGTGTGTGTTTGTGTGGTGTGGTGTGTAAGTACGAGTTGTGTGTGTACCCCGTAGATGTTGTGCCACCGCGGCGAAACACGGTGGAATGGGGATGGCGTCGTACAGTTTGGTTGTGGGAGGAGGAAACGAAACGGTGCGAGTAGACGGATGAACAATTGACGGGGGAGGGCACCTTACGAAGTGAAGATGGGAAGCAGAGGATGGAAGATAGGCTACACGGTACCTTAGGACTTGGATCACACCGGGACAGGTTCGGTTGATTACGAGAAAGAAGCTTTAGTGGAAGGAGCGAAGACTCGAGAGTGGAGAGTGCGGGAAAGAGCGATTAAGATTTAGCATCGATTGGCGACTGCCTCCATTCAGTTTGCTCAGTCCTGGAGTCCTGGGCTGGGCTGGGCTGGGCTGTTCACTACGGTACGGTACGGTGGTGACTACCTCACTTCGTACACAATTTCTCCCTCCCTTGAGTCTTGACACGAACAACCTCCTCGAGTCCTAGAGACCTAGACCATGCAAAAATGCACACAATGCAGCCAAATCTGCACAAGTCCCAGCAAGTGTGCCTGTACCTCCGCAGCAGTGCAGATTCCGTCGAGCTTAGCGTCCCGGCCGACGGGTGCTAATAGAAAAGCCACTCGTAATAGCGTCCACCCGTCCAAGGTGGCGCGGTTTACTGGTTTTTTTGCCTCATCTGTCATGGCTCATGAAATGGTCCGAATGGTTTGTGCATGGCATTTCCCCCTTCTCCTATGTATGACTTCGCTGATGAACTCCGTCTTCTCCGTCAGGCTAGGCACTGGGCAGCCCTTCTCCTTTCCATGGTCCATCGAGTCTCGAGTCTCTCCACCGTCGGATACTGGAGAGGAGCCCGAGCCGACGGTTTGAAAGAGGGGCCCTTCTCCCAAGAACTTTGAATGAACAAGTGACGAGAAAAAAAATAGACAAAAGAGTGGGCGGGAGGGGCGTCGAGGGATTAACCACTCCATCTGCTGCCCTCTCGAATCCCAAACGGCAGGTCGTCAGTCAATACTGCTGCTCGAGAGCAGCCCAAACCCAAAGGAAATAAGACCAAAGGGCGACGGAGCGAGAAAAGGCTAACAAATGTTTAATTTGAACAGGCCCAAGTAGGAAACACAATGACACAACCACACAAGGGGGGCACCAAAAAGGACGACGACTCCGACAGCGAGGGCTTACTACGTAGAATTTTCGGATGCCCGTCGACTTGGAGCATTTTTCGACAGGGTCTCTCCCCGCCATCCGAGAGTGTTCTTGATGGTGATGCGCGCCGCTGCTTGGAAACCCGTTGATTGCTACAATGGCAGTGCTCGACAAGCCCGTCATTGACAGCCCGCGGTGGCCGGGCTCTTCGCATGCACACACGCACACACGCACACACGCGCCATCATGGGGTGTCCCTGAACCCCTGGACAAGTGGACCCTGCCAGCCATGAGAACCTTCAACCGAGGTGCTGTGCGCCCCCAAAACGTGTCTCTATCTCGCTCTTTCCGACCGCTATGCTGTTTGGATTGAAAAGATGGCATAATACGGAGAGAATTGACAGCGAGTCGATGGTTATCAGCAAGAGCAGCAGGGCTGAGGACGACGAATGAGCATCAGTAGCCAGGCGATACACGGCGGAATTCCATTGGACAATCAGCAGCAATACGAGATTGTCGGAAAACCGCCTTGTTCCCGCGACGGTTAACGAAATCTCCCCGTCAACTCCAGTCTTCAGCCAACCCCCCCCCCCCTCCCGTGTTGCCTGCCCCATCATGCGGTCCGCGGGATGAACCCAAGTGGGCAACATACGATGGCTGAGTAACCAAGGGCCCCGGGAACGGCCACGACGACGTCTACGACAGCGACGCGTAAAAGAAGAAAACATGTTGAAACTACCATGATAACGAGGTTTCTTCCACCCATATATGCATCGCGCGGTGTTGAGAAGTTTCAAGACATCGCGAATATTCAAAAGTACGGAATACACCCAGACCCTTGATGGATGTTGCGCTTCTCCCGCCAGGATTGATTTGGATCCCTCATAAAACCACTTCCGTGTCAACGCCGGCGTGGCGCTGGTCATCCGGGCGTCCAACGACCCTGGATTCCTGAGATCGTCAGCTAGCGCCACAGCTGCTTGCATTCGCGCATTTCCTGCCAAATTCGATCTTTTGGCGGTGGACCGTATCGCGACATTGACCGGCGCCCAGACTTTACAGCGTGTCGAGAAAAGAAAGAAAAGCGCTGGTGTACCATGGTAGCGAGTGAGTGACCTTGCTCGTGTCTCACCCTCGACAATGCTCTATCAACTATCTGTATGCTCCAGGACTTGCTCCCCATACGGATAGACTTGACGTCCCGTCATGCGATCGGCGCGTGGGCAGAATGATATCAGCCTGGGTAGACGCTTACAGCAGACAACGCATAACAACACACACACACACGCGCGCGCGGACACACACGCCAGAAAAGGAGCCGAAACGGAATACGAGATCGAGGTGCAGCAGCCAACGGCCAGTAGGTCTACAGAACGGTCGGTTTAGGGAGGTGGGCTCGCCAACAGCGTCATCCTCTGTAGATCAGCACCGTCTGCGACACGAGAGATTGTAAGGATTCTCGGGACTCAAACTTCCTCAAGATGGGAGAAAAGCCCGACAGGACCCAATCTCTCATGCAGTCCGTCCAGTTCCACACAGGAAGCAGTCTCATGCTCGGAGTCCATCAACTTTCAGAAAAGCCCGCTACTCAATCTCTGACCACGAAGCTGGCAAGCTTCGAAAGTGCTTACCGTGAGAAGAAGAAAGAGGGGACCGCCCGGGACACTCGGGCGTCGAAGACTCGAAGGGGGCCCAGCGGTTGTAATTCCCGGAAATTGCCCAGAGACACAGCGCCCACCGTTCGGTGAGTAATCCAGTTGCCAGCTGAGCCACACCTCACTCTGAAGTCCAGGCACACGGCGCGCTCACCCAGCTTGGGGCTTGACGGGCTTTTGTTACTTTTGTCTGTGCATTTGCCCTGAAGTGAGAGTGTGGCTCACATTTCACTCACGAGGAATGCATCCTTCAATTCAAGCTTTGTTTCTCCAGAATTTGCTCGTCATTTTCCCCATTCTGTACTCACAAGTATGAGACATTCCACTTTGGTACTATTTGATATGAAGTCGCCTCCATTCTTGCCCGCTCCCTGCCAAGGCTTCTGCTTGAAAGAGTTCGTCTTGCCCATGGGCCGTCGCCGGAATGGCTGACGGTCTCACTTGTTATGACTACCTAATTGATCTTGGCAACCTCCAACCTCACATCATGATGGCTGAAGAGCACACCAGACAACTACGGGAGATAACCATGGTCAATCTTCTCTTGTTAGATAGGAAGTTCTGTGTCTGCTTTTGCTTACTTTGACAGATAGTCATCAGGTCTGATCAACATATCGTTCTTTTATCGCTGTTATAAAACTAAGTCTCTACATATTGACGCTATCTAGCAGTCGATGGGACACGCTTGACGCAGCTATTTCCGACCTACAAATGGGCTCAGTCGGAGTCGGAGTCCCTGGAGCGAATCGAACGCGAACTCATTGTAAGCCTCGATTGCGAAGCTGTGTAACCGGCTTGGTTTTACATATCGATTACGCCATCTGGGGGAACCGCGACGTCTACGTTCACACTCCAGGTTGAACTATTGTCTTTATACGGAGCGTTCGAAAGAGAATACCCGAAGCTCCGACGCCAGCAACGAGCCGTCTTGCCATATTTGTATCCTATATCCTCCTGCGCTATTCCACAAAGTCTTGAGGATGAGCATCGGTGATATCACCCAACAGGTCCGCCGACGTCCGTATACACAGGGCCCGAAAGAGCTCAATCTCATGCTCGTTCAATGCCGTGTCCTTCCCAGAACATCTAAGCTCCTCCCCCTCGCCGCCCTCCGCACCGCACGCAATCCAAGCTCGCCTGCCATCCAACCAGGTCGGCACGTTGATCGGCCCATCCCATGGCCTCGTCCAGTCGCCCGCGAAGAAGTTGATGGAGGTCAATGGACTCCTTGCGTAATGCCGGATGAACCTCGCAACTTGAAGGGCACTCGTAGCCGTGAGCAGAGGGCTGGCGAGCTGCTCTGTCGGACCGCACGTATCCACACACCGGATCGGTTCTAACGGACCTTGCTGACGACGGCATTCGCTCGTGATCTCGAGGTATAGCGTCAGATTGGTCAGTCCAGCCGGGAGGCCTAAAGAGAGAGCGCGGAGGTCCTCCCATGGCCATGTACTGTTGCGGTTGAGGTCGATTATCAGAGATTGCAAGTTGGGCGCTAGGTTGCGAAGGTCTCGCAGAACATCCCTCGGAAGCGTTGGTCTTTTGGATTCTAGGCTTTCTGGCGTTCGCCATTCCAGGTGAGTGAGTGAGCGCCCATGGTGTTCGAGTATGGGAATGATGGACTGGTCTTGGCCGGCATCTAGCCATGATAGGCTTTGCAGCGAATGTTGAGGTAGCGAGAGGGCAAAGTCTACTGTTGTACCTCGCTCGAGTCTCAACGTGCGAAGGCCTAGTAGAGCTTGAGGCAATTTGCTTTCGACGAGTGTCTCGGGAGGACCGTCATAGTCCAAGATTGAAAGATTGCGGATCTTGGAGAAGTCCATTGCGTTGAGCCACAGTTCGATGTTGTTCGCTGACTTCTGGTCATCTGAAAGTAGTCTCCATTTCACCCATCCGAAGGCGTCACCCGAGAGGATCCAGCCACTGAGGTGAGTCCATCCTCTCAGAGGACGTAGGTAATCTCCATCAGTGTCGTAAAAGTGATACTTTTCGAGGGATAGGGTGTCCAGAACGGGGAGATATCGCGATGTTCCGGCAGGATCCAGGGGAAGGCTCCAGCGATCGGGTTCTCCTACACAACCGATCTCTCCGATACGCAGGTTGAGCGATGTGATGTTGGGACAGTGGGTGAGAGCGTCGTGGACGTTAGCTAAGGACTTGTAGTATGTGTTGCTTGGGCTCTGGATGGACGGCGGCACGGTGACGCTGAGTTCCGAACTGGAGGGACATGTGATGGCCGCAGGTGCGGCGATTCGGGCCAAGATGAGCAGCAAGGTGAGAGTACGTATCGGGAACATGATGGATTTGGTCACAGTATCGATCCCTTTTCTAATTCATCGGTCTCCGTGGTGATCATGCGGTGAGAATGGAAGTTGAGCTTATCAGGTAGAAAGATGATGGCTAGGAGATGTGACAGGGGCATGTTGGTTGGACCCCTGTTTTGCTGTGCCTCACTCAACGCGTCCCCCGCCATTTTTCATGCTTTGCTCTTGCTTTCCAAATATTATAACAAACATTTACCCAGCAGCCGCAAAGCAGCCGCGCCATTGTTAGCACCAAGAAGCGCAACCAATATCAAGACATCGAATGACATCAAGATAGCAGCACCACCAACCAAGTTCTCCACCTCATCGTTGTCAAGTACGGGGAGGACTTGGCCTTCTCTTGCAGCAAGCAACAGCAACCACCGAAAGTCATCTACTTCTCCATCACTCCCCCTCTCTACCACAGTCTTGGCCCTGAGCCGTAGGAGGTCTGAGGTAGACGCGACCGAGCCCCCCAAGAAGAACCCGGTAGCGTGTATGCGCTCGATGCAGCCGCTGCCAATCTCTAGGACATCCATTTCTACTCGGAATCCTTGAGGTGCGTCAAACGCAATCTTGCCGTCGGCCTCGATGGTAAAGCCGTCAGATCCGGCTTGGGCGCTCTCCTAAATGTCGATGATGGCCTCTGAGGGGGCGGCAACATCCACGTCCTCGGTGTGCTATGTCGAGGAGTGGGCGATGCTCGCCGCGCCTCCGATTAAGACAACATGCTGTCGTAAGCTTGGCCGGACAAGGGTTGTGGCTGCTGTAAAGCAGGCAAACAGCGCGTCGCGCATGGGGATGGAGATGGTCTTGGAGGAATTGGGCATTTTGAAAGATGACTCTTCTTAGGGATGTTAGAAACATTGAAACGTTGAGAGTGAATAATGTTGCTGAGGGGTTATTTGACTCACAAAGGATCTGGCTTCGAGCGAACAATACTTTGAACAATTGAAGAGCCGATGCAAGTAACTTGTAAATAACGATTACCAACCTATCTTCTTTAGCAATGCACACGGTAAATGACTCGATGCTTTATCAAAGACCTGCCAAGAAGTCTGTCGATGATGTCGCGAAGGAGAAAACACAGAAAAAAGAGAGGCACAGGGTGGTTGTCTATCTGACTACTTGCCTTTCTGTGCTTTACATCACCTGGTGCCTGCTTTGGCAATCATTCACATCTATTTGGCAGAGCACTTCGGGCAGCTGGTATCCCTCGGACCTGACCCATTGCTTGGTGGTCGTCAGATGCCTGGAAGACAGGAAAGAGCGTGACAACGATGTGTTTTTTTCTCCCCCTGAACACTGGGTATCTAACGTGAATGCTGCCACAACGCCCTCAGTCGTGCTCAAAGTAAACGACTATGATCTATTCGAGAGTTTCCTTGCTTCTTCGAGCTCTTGAGTTGACTCCTCCCGCTTCCTTTTCTGCTCAGTCCTGAGTGCCATACAAGTTTCGCTTCTCGGCAGGTCAATGTCGATGATCCAGGGATAGCGTTGCAACTCACCATCTGCCTCGAGCGCGGCATTGACGAACATTGTGCTCTTGACCTCCGATAAGCTCATGTCGTTGCGAAGATGTCCTGCACTAGAGTATCGCTGCGCCCTGTAGAGCTCAAGTCTCCGCTCCCTACTCTTCTTGTCTTCCTCGGATTCGAATCGCGTACCCCCGAGCGTTGTGAGATTATCAACAAGCTCAGATTTTTCGTGATCAATGTCACTAAAATGCGAGGGTTTGTCGGAGATCGTGGGGCGCCAAGCTGCGTCCTTTGCTCCCCAACCACCGTGTACATGTCCGAAACAGTGTAAGCGAGGTCGAGACTTTGCAATAGCAGCAAAGAGATCCGCACAGCCGATGCGCTTCTTATCCGCAGACATGTCCATAATCCCACGCGGCGGGCCATGCGTGATGACGATATCCGTATCCGCCTGGATGTCGAATTCATGGCCCTTGCTTTGATTATACGAGAAGCCCCAGCCTTCAGATGATGACGATGATGGCGTATACGGGCTAGCGTAGACTTTGAGCCTTGTTCCGTTCGCGAGAGTAAGTTCGTGTGTACCCTCGTCCAGGAGAAGAATGCCGTCCTTTTTGGCGTCGGTGAAGAGTTTCCTGGCCAGTCCGTATCCGCCATACTCCCGTTCAAGCAGGTCTGCTTCAAGTGGTGCGCCGTTGACACGGTTGGCTTCCTCCACTTTTGCCTTGAATGCCACGGGATCGAGCGAGAAGTCATGATTGCCTGCGATGACGAGCGTGAGTGGTGCTTTGAAGGCTTTGAGCATGTCGAGGGTTTGGCGGAATTCGTCCATTTTTGAGTGCTGTGTGAGGTCGCCGCAGTGGATGAGGACGTCAACTGGCCCACGAGGCATCATTCCAGGTGGGAATGTATGGCCGTGAGTGTCTGAGATGATGAGGAATCTAGTTTGGGTGGTGGAAGACATCGTGTTGAGACTGCGGAGTTGAACGTGGGATGTATGACGTGGGACTTGGCCGGCTGTTGAAGGCGTCAAGTGTGAGATGAGTTGTGTATGTTTTACCTCTATATTTCGATTCAGCTAAGAGATATACCAACTACTTATATGTGAATAGAATGAAATTGGGGAGAGTCTCCGCGATATGGTTTTGAATTCCGTTGGTTACCCCACATACATATCTCCGTTTGTGTCCATCAAGTGACATACCAGCTGCGATAGGTTTTTCGACCGCCGCCAGATAACTTCCATCAATCCCTTCGTGGTACCTGGATAGACTCAACTAATCGAGGCTTGAAAAGTACGGCTATGGCGGTGATGCATGGTAGATGGTATGAGGTAAAAAAGAACTTCATTAACGTCAAGCAGACAGGGAGCCGCTCGGCATCCTCACCAGACAAGAAACTCATCAAATGGAATTGATGGGCGTTGACAGCCCTCATAAACCTACCATAAGAACAGGAGGATGAACTACTCCAAGAACTACACCAAGAACTGCAGTCTAACCGCGCCGGATCAACCAAAACGGCAGTAACTCGGCTCCGAGCGAGGTTCAAAGGCGGAGCACCAGCCGGACAGGGACAGAAGCACGCACGCTACCGCCTTGCCTTACTCTGTGAAGCAGGGAAGGGCAGATATGAAATCACCCTCTTAACGAAACCGCTCACATCAGGTAGGATCCGGTATCTAGTTACCATGAAAGTCCCTTGCCTACTCCGACGCAAGAACAAGATACCCGAAATCGCCAAGCAAAAGCCAAGCCGTCCCTCGCCCATCATCCAGCACGAAGAGCCAATCAACCGGACCACGCACGCTCGGTCTGATAGTCCCCGTGTCTACTCACCCAAGTGGGTGACAAAATCGATTTCCCCTCGACACATCCGACAAGCACTTTCTTCCGCTATTATCAACGGTACTAAGATCATTTGTACAGGGCATATTGTTTTTACGTATGTAAGAGGGATTTTGATGCGAGAGGGCAAGCAATTATGATGATATAAGTAGATACATGGTAGGAAATCGATTTTGTCCCCCACTTGTCACCAAGTCCACTATCTTCAAAAACAAATAGATGCTAAGCAATGCCAGGAAAAACGGCTTACGACCCTACGGAAAGAAAATCCCAACCGCGCGGCGGCATGTAACACCCCTTGTTCGTCCGATGTTATCCCAGTCGGAGCGTTTTACAACAGGCGTCTCGAAACCCAACAAAGGGCACGCACGCCCTTCCCAAGCAGTCGTCATCTTTACGCAGTACACCAAGCCCGGGCGTCCGAGCGCTTCTCTCAGTCTCCTAGGGCCTACGGAAGTCCAAACGGTGGCAAAGGAAACTTGAGGAAGGGATCACATCCCGCGGAGGCTCGTGCTTGGCACGTCTCACCTCATCTTGGGAGTGTTCTCCTACACACAAGCACAACTGCAGTAGATAACGACCAATACTGACTGAAGGAAACCAAGTTGACTTTTGCAAGAGCCTTGTGCCCTGCTGCATCAAGAACTGTCTAAGTATACTGATGATGGCATCGCTAGGTACAATGTAAATGTCGGTAGTAGTAAATAGTATATCCACAAGGGGTTGCGGGGATGACGCCCAAGATTATCATCATCCACCGATGCACTTCCTCACTGTCGCCCTCCAAATTCTCCTCCTCTCCGACGGCATGCCTGTGATGCCGTCACCCGTGTCGCCAACACCTGGCATCTTCCTGGTCCCGTGGCGTCCGGCGCAACTGCAACATGCAACCCCGTGGATCAGACTCCATGATAAGTCTATCCTACCACATCTGATAAATGCTGGCAGAGATAGAGTGGTACAGGCAAGCAACGACGCTGATATTGTTGACAAATAATATGGTGGAAGAGGGAAACGAAACGAAATTGTTGCCTTTTTTTTTCTTCGACTTTGGCTTAGAAGTTCTCCTTGCCCCACACGAACGAGAAGCTGTAGTGAGATTAGCATTGAACATGTCTTCAGGACTAGAAAGAAAACTTACCCAGGTTCACTGTACTTATTACAGAAAATGTGTAGCGTGCTACCCAAACCCTTGGGACCGCAGAAGAATACACCGGCCTCGGCGGGCGAGTGCAGCTTGCGAATACCTCTGAAAATCATGTCCCAGTTGGGTCTGCCAAAGTTGGTGGGCGAGCGCAGACCGGTAATGGTATCCTTGTCGGCGTTGGCGTCGTTAATCATAATGTTCGTCGCGTCGTCCGCCTTGATCTTGGCCGTCAGATAGGTGTGGATCTCGATACGGTTATCCACGTCCTGGGCTTCAATGGCCAGTAGAAGGGAGCGGAACCACTCGAAAGAGCCAAAGTCTCTGCAAATCCAGAAGAAGTAGACCTTGCTCAGGCGAGTCTTCTGCTGAGGGTAGTTCATGCGGTACCAGATGGACTTGAGAATGGAAGCAAAGGGCGTAACACCGATACCAGCACCGCAGAGAACCGAAATCTCATACTTGAAAACGTCCTCAGAGGCCGAACCAAAGGGTCCGTCAATGTAGACACGGGGCAAGACGCGGCGGAGGGCAGGGTCAACCTCGCTGGAATCGCTGTTGACACCGACGACCTTGCTGGCATCGTCCTTCTTCTTGTCCCATTCGCAGCCGAGAGCCATTGAGACGGCACGTGTGAAGTCACCGACAACACGCATGTGGATGGAGATGTAGTCTTCCTCGGGGGCGCTGGTCAAGGTGAAAGGGTGGTACTGCCACAGAGAGACAGCGGGACAGCAGAAGAAAATGTACTGTCCAGCCCTGGTCTTGGTGTGCTCCTTCTTGATCTGGATCTCGCAGACATTGCTGGGGTGCTGAATAACCTTGGAAACGTACGTCTTGTGGCGTCCACGAACCTCACGAGCAACACGCTCAGCCAGGTAGACGAAACCGCCGTACATCCAGTACTGCCAAAACACGCCGATAGCAGAAGTGCCAATGCTGGTGCAGAAAGGAGCAAAGTCGGGCTGAATCATGCAGAAGGCACCGTGGATGGACCAGAAGAAGAAGAAGACGATGAACATGTGGTGAGTGTACCAGAATCGCTCATAATTGGCACGGCGGGGCTTCTCGACCGAGGTGAAGACCATACCCATGAGCGCGATCAACATGACATAGCCAGTCCAGCCGGGTCCGGAGACAAAGTTGGCCAGCAGCCAGCCGTAGATTCCGAGGTTGTTCTTGGCGGCGATCTGAGCAAAGTTGTTCCAGTGGGCAATAGTGTGGACCCACGAGAAGAAGACAATGGACCAAGCGGTGGTGATGTGGAAGGTGATGTTCTTGTCGAACTGGATGATTCCGTTGAGCGGAGTCTGACGGGCCAGGGAGATGAGCGTGCGGCAGACGGGGAAAAGGACCAAAGCGACGTCGACGTGGAGCACCAGCGCAGCTGAACGTGCGATGATGAATGTCGGGCCAAATGTGTCTCTTGCTATTTGCAAGTTATCCTTGAGGGCGAAGTTGACGGAGGCGAACGCGAAGACGAGGCCGTGAAGCACGAGGAACACAAATACGAATCTGCTTGCAGTTAGAACCTGTTGTCTGGTAACCGGACTGGGTGTGCGAAGACGTACACTCTTCGGTATCCTTCGTTAATCATCCAACGGTCGAAGCGCTCGCGCATCGTTAAATCCTTTTGCTTCTCCTGCGTCATCTCCCCGGAGAGAAGCATGCGGGTAAGAGGTGTCCATCTTGAGCGTTCCGAAGGCTTCTCGGAGCCTGCGTAGTAGTAATCCATGACTGGCGATTCGATCTGGCTTGTCGCTAGCCAGGGTCTTCGACGATTGCTCTCTTGCTGGTTTCTTTTCCGATCCGAAATATCCCAGTAGAGGGTTGGTCTTCTTCTCGACTCTTTCTCGGATTTCAATTAAACGTCCCCGTCGGTTCTTTCTCCTTCCCTAGTCGTTGATGGTTTCTATCGTCGTGGTGATGGCGGTGTGCGAATGGTCGCGGGTATAATCGAACGTTGGGGGGTTGGTTCAGAGCCTGCTGAATGGGCGCAGAAAATAATGCATCTAAATGAAAGTAGGCGAAGAGAAGTGAAGAGTCGATCCTAGAAGCACGCGCGAACCCAGAAAAAGAGCGGAAATTCGAGCCTGCGATCCGTTGTCACTGGGTCAGCGAAATGAAGGCTTCTCGCACGAGGCAGTAGAAGGATGGAAGGTGGTGGGAAGGGCACGGAGCTGGAATGTAAATGACAGAAGGTGGCGGGAGGAAGCAGAAGAGAAGAAAGAGGCGGCCGAGGGGCTTATGGCGCACAACAGAGTTTGGGAGACGCAAGAGAGTGTGTCCGGGGGAATGTTGCGGCTTCTCTTGCTGCTACTACTTTTCTGCTGGTAGGAGAGGAGGAATAGGGATGGGCGGCAGGGAAAGTTTAGGAAACATAAGGTGATTTTGTGTCGATGATACAAGCCACGCTGCTTGGTTCTGGTCGCACACTTACCTGCACACAATGCCTGCACTCGGCGGCTGGATAGAATTCTTGGTATTCGCGGGGGATTGAGAGGATTGGCGATAATTACTTGTCCCTACTTGCAGTAGCGGAAAGGGGTGTGAGAGAGATGGACGCTGGAAGAAGGGGGAAAAGAGAGTCAAAAGCGCAGCGTCCGGGAGGTGGGCGATCACAGGATGAAGAGGAGTGAGAGCGACGTCTCGGGTGTGAAGTGTGAGAGGTGTGTGAGGTGGATGCGTTCTGGTTCAGGGCGGGGAGTGGAGAGGGGCAAGGGGAGGGGAGGGTGGCAGGGGTGCTTCAGGACAAGGGGGGGTAGGGATAAGGGGGGATCGTGTGGTGGGCAGGGGGGGATGGGAGGGCCTCACAGGTCTCGAATGGAACGGTGAGTATTT